TTTTTTTTTAAATATTAAAATAATATATATTTCCTTAAAAGGTTTTATATAAAATTAAATTTTTTTAAAATAAATTTTTTTTAAAAAAAAATACAAAATCTTGTTGGTGCCATTTAGGCGCTATAATCATTGAAATTTAAAATAATAAATATAATATTAATAATACATTATAAAAAAAAATTAAATATAAACTAATTTAATTAGTATGATCTTATTTTACCATCATCTATTTAATGATAATATTATAAATTAATATCTTAATTATCTTTTTGCTAAACACTCTTAAGTTTGTTCATCATTTGAAATTTCACTCAATACATGGCCAGACAATACTCACCTCACTATTATATAAAAGAATATAAATTTTTAATGCATAAAAGATGATAAGAATACCTGAAGTGGAAAAGATTTGTTTTGACTTTGAAAGAAAAGGGGGTATTATGTATGATCAATTGCGAAAAAAATTTAGTGAAAAATTTTTTTTGAGGAAGAATTATGAAAATCGATTTCGTGAAAAAGGCTTAATTAACCCCCCCCCCCTTTTATTCTTAAATACTTTATATATCTAATAACAAATTCAGTAACGTTTTGTAATATTTTTCAAAGAAAATACATGTTCGCATTTTTTTAGGCGTAACGATCAAGGGTGTGAACCCCGGGTCTTTCCCCGGGGCTCGTGATCAGAGCTGGTTTAGTCAATTTTTAGACCAACACCCTGGGTCTGGAGGTTACACAACTAACCAATTAACAAAACTTATTCTTTTTTTTTATTTAAATGGTTTTTAAATCAATAAATTTATTTATACGTATAATTTTAGATTTTCAAATCAATCTCCTTATTTTCAACTTTAAATGTTTTGTTATGTAATTAAAAAGTGTGCTCTCCTCTATTAACCTCATCTACCCTTCTGTTGTGATTTAATCTAGACTTGGATGCTACCTATTTCAAACATTGCATTTAAAATAACGATGAAATCATATTTTTATTCAGGTCGATGTTATATTCTTCCATGCAAATCCAATCTTAGAAGTTTTTTTAATCTCATTAGCTTCTCCCAATGATAACATCCCCGTTATGTGTACTTTGGTATTAAAAATGTTAAAATTATTTGAAGCATATATTTTTTAATGTTTACCTAATAAATTTTTAAAAAAGTTAAAATTATTTAACCGGTCCAATTTTTAATATTATTTAGCTAGCTCGCCCAATAAGATAAACGGGCGTAGGCTAAATGTCAGCTCGTTACAGCAAAAAATAAAAGTTGAAAAATAAATATTATGACAATTTTCACTTTTCTATGGTACATCTTCACTGAAATTTTAACTAAACATGTTTACGATAAATATTTTTATAACGATTATGACAATTGTCACTTTTCTATGGTACATCTTCACTGTAACTTTATTATAACATGTTTACAATATATATTTTTACCTAATTGCTTTGGAAATTTCAAAAAAGTTCACAAATAACTCTTATGACAGTGTCACTTTCTATGGTATCTTAACTGAAATTTTAACTTAACATGTTTACAATATATATTTTTACCTATTTTCTTTGAAAAAATTCAAAAATGTTCACAAATAACGATGATGACAATTGTTACTTTTCTATGGTATCTTCACTGAAAATTTAATTTAACATGTTTACAATAAATATTTTTACCTATATGTTTTAAAAAAATCAAAAAAGTTCAAAAATAACGATTATGACAATTATAACTTTTCTATGGTATATTCACTGAAATTTTAATTTAACCTGTTTATAAAACATATTTTTACCTATTTAATTTTAAAAGATTCAATTTAAATAAAACATGTATATTTTTGCCTATTTGATCTAAAAAATTAAGAAAAAACAAAAAATTATTAAAAATAACGAATATGAGATTTATGACTTTTCTATAATTTATCTTCTCTGATATCTCAAATAGTCGGAGGAACTAGACAAAATTAGCAACACTAACCCCGACTATACAGTGGTCAGGTTCGGTTCGGCTCAAAATTTTGATTTTTCGACTAAATTAGTCGATTAAGCAAGTAAACTAAATGGGTCGACTATGTCGACTAAATAGTAGTGTTGTTAAAAGACTCAATTTGAGCCGATTTTTAAAAACGGCTAACTCAATATTCTATTCAGAAAAATATTATGCAAGCTGAAAGACTTTGTTCACAGTTGGCACATAGAATTGAACATCTATTGGCGAAATCTCGACGCTTAGGCAATGTTTTCCTGGCAATAATGTTGAGTTAGCCGTTTTTAAAAATCGGTTCAAATCGAGCCGTTTAACAACACTACTAAATAGATAAACTTAGTCGGCTAAATTGGTTGTTTTAGTCGACTAAATTAGTCGTTTTAGTCGACTAATAGACTAATTTAGCGCTAAAGTTCTTAGTCGATTTCCATGACTACGACTAATTAGCAACACTAGTTTTATCCTTAGAATATGTGTATTTATTATTTTATGAAAATAATAATTTTAACTATTATATTTTGATATAAATTGCAAAAAAAATATTTTTAGCCATTTTACAAAATAACTTAATAATTATTATTCCTTAATTATTATCTTAATAATAATAATTTAATTACACAATTTAATATACCTTGCATATTATATATTAGTATGTATTAGCAACACATAATTGCTTTATATACTAAATAATTAAAATTTAGTCTTTTAATTGCGAAAAATCGGATAAGTGCGATAATATTAATTTTTTCAGTCCTAACGTTTCGCAATTATTTGTATAAACTTTTGCTAAGTGTTTTTTCGTAGATCTATCTAATATATCAATAACAGTCTTTGTTTATGTGTCAATGTAATAAATTTATTCTAAAAATATAACAATTACCATAATTCCTATTAGAATAAAAGATAATTTTTTAAATATTTAGTGCTAATTTACAATTCAGAAATCCTCGCTTCGCACTTATTCGATAAAAATGACGTTGTTGACATATAAATGGGACTTAAGTTTTTTTGCATTTAACTGATTTAAAATATATTTTATCATGATGCCATTATAGATTTTAACAAAATGGCCCTTTTTTCGCATTTAAAAGTATTTCCACTCAAGCGATATGCAATTAAACGGTTTTGACTGTATTTTGTACTGGTAACACGACTGGTCTTGATATTATAAAATATATAATATGCCAACTTAGTTCCATAAATCCATCTCTCGAATTCTTATTTTGGCAAAGCTATGATGATGTCTTAAACAATAGTGGAAGAATGAATGGGGTATAGGCTTTGTTTAGAGTTGAAGTACCGAAGGTAGCTTTTATTTGGGGCTATTGTCATTTATAAAATTTAATCATTATTCAATTATGCCAATTAATAAGGGACTTTAGACGAGATTCACATGCATTTCAAATGCAGGGCTCAAAGCATATCAAAGCGATGTACTGATAAAATTGCAACATTTAGTATGCATCAAGAATACCATTTGGTAATATTATCCTATTTGTTAAGATTTAAAATGTTTATTTAATATATTTATAGTAGCTGGATATCATAATAAAAAGCTGCAGTTTTTTCTACCTAGTGACGACTTGAGGGCAGCTTTGAAAAAATATAAGTTCTGAAGATCCTGTCACTTCTACCAAGGCGAGTGCTATAGTTTATATAAAAAAAACAATTGTATTTTGGATAAAATATTGTTTATATTATGGCTTATAAAATTGCAAGCCATGTTGAAAGATATATGGATTGCTAGAAATCAAATTTAATTTGAAAAATATTGCCTTATTGATTTGAGAAGTTTAATTTAAATATTTCTCCCATATCATTTTTTAATCTTATTAGAATGATATTAAATTTTTAAATGTTATTTCAAAGGCATATGATTTCATGAAAAGGAGAAATCTTCCTTTAGATTTTGTAAGTTATAGACTTAAAGCATAACAATTCAGAAAGAAAAGGTATATATCCCTTCATTATTAAATATAATATATTTAGATTTTAAATCTAATGTGTTTTATGTTGCATTTGATTTGATAAAAATGCAGTTTAATGAAAGATTTAATGATGAATCAATAAAATATTTAAATCAAACATAATTTTTTACACCAAATGGAATTGCGAAAGACATTTGTTAAAGATCATATTGAGGATATCAGTGAATTTTACTATTTTAATTCGATTAAGCTTTTGTAGAAATGTCTAAGTTTCCAGATATTTGTTTAACGGCTAAAAAAAGGGGGAGAGGGTTTGCAATTATTAACCTGGAAGTTAAAAAGTCTAAATAGTCAGATTCTTAGAATTTAAATTTATTTTATCAGAATATATATTAATACAATATTTAGCGTCTTCTGATTATTTTAATCATTCTGAGACTTATGATTGAGAGTGGAAAAACTATTGGTTTATCTTACTTTATCCTTTAGTTTCTAATTTTCTGTTTCCCTAATTTATTAATTTTATATAAATATTTATTAAATATTCCCATTATTCATTTACATAACTAATATTTTTTTTATAATTTACTTTTAATATATAAACTTACAATTCATAGGTCCATTTTCTCTATAATACAATTTTATGTTAGCGCAATGGAGGGAGAGTGGTCCTTACACTTTCTAAGAGATGGAAGCAAAATACTCCTTCCCTCCCCCTTTCAAAAAAAAGGAGTTAATTATTGCTTGACGATCAACCTAAATTATAAAAATAATTTTTAATTTTTAATTATTAAATATAAAATAATAATATTAATTTGTATACTATATCATCCTTAATTAGATTAATATCTCATAAAAATTAAAACAAATCCTATATTTAAAATAATATTGAATATTTAGAATAATCAAAAGAATTTATAAAGGAAAAATATTGTTGATATGTTATATATTCGCAGCTTTAGACAATCTAATCTTTAGACAGAAGCTCATCATATTTTGGTATCGATCCGATTCATTTATCTTTCTTTTGTCATCAAACTATTTAGCGTCAAATGGCAAATTATTTTTCTAAAATTTATCATTAAAATATTTTACATAATTATTTACATATATATTTTTTCTAGAAAATTGTAAAATAAAGAACAATATTAGCAATGTTCTCAACTTAGTATTAGCAAGATTCTATATTAGTATGAGCAAATATTTTTCTGAACCTTAAAGGCAAAGGTAATTGTTTTAATTAAAATATTTTACATAATTAATATTTACAGATTTATTTTTCTAGAAAATTGTAAAATAAAGAACAATATTAGCAATATTCCAACTTAGTATTAGCAAGATTCTATATTAATATTAGCAAATATTTTTCTAAACCTTAAAGGCAAAGGTAATTGGTTTTAATTAAAATATTTTACATAATTGTTAAAAAGTACAATATTAGCAATATTTTCAACTTAGTATTAGCAAGATTCTTTATTAGTATTAGCAAATATTTTTCTGAACCTTAAAGGCAAAGGTAATTGGTTTTAATGATGTGATTTATTATTTTCTAGATATTTGCAAGTATTTGACTGCAATAAGAGGAAGTATTTTACAAAATAATATGAAATATTTTCTTTTAAATTTTATTATAAATAAAAATCGTTAATTATGTATTTTGCAAGTATTTGACTGCAAGAAGAGGAAGTATTTTACAAAATAATATAAAATATTATCTTTTAAATTTTATTATAAATAGTTAATCAAAATTTTGTTAATATATTTTCTTTTAAATTTTATTATAAATAGTAATCAAAATTTTGTTAATATATTTTCTTTTAAATTTTATTATAAATAGTTAATCAAAATTTTGTTAATATATTATCTTTTAAATTTTATTATAGTTAATCAAAATTTTAATAATATATATTCTTTTAAATTTTATTATAAATAGTAAATCATAAATTTTTTAATATATTTTTCCTTAAGTATCATTGGGAAGAAATGAAGAGATTGTGCCTTCTTTGATAAATCATGCACAAGAAGATCGAGAGGATGATCTCCTTGTTTTACCATTTTTGGATGAATATTATAGATGAAGAAGTTGTAATCGATATCTCCATTGCAGCTGATAGCTCTGTAACTTTACCAATATCATTTAATAACATTCAATTCTCATATTTAAATATATAACAGCCATATAATTTTATTCTTTCCCAAAAAAACGTAATTTATTATATTCAAATAAATATCTATATATTCATCATAAATTTGTCTGCATAGTATATGCTAAAATGTAGTTTTTTTCAATATGTTATAGTTTGACAATTAATTTTAACATTATATTGTTAGAATAGAATAGAATCTGGTGATATTATAACTAATTAGATATTATATTTTATTAGAGATATTTGTAGCTTTTCAAATTTTATTGTCATTTAAATTTGGAATTTTTGAAAATTATTTTTTAAAATAAAACTTTACTATTCATATTTTTTGTATCATGTCTATCTAAATAAATAAAGGAAGGAGAGAATTGATAAAAGAAATGTAGAATCTAAAAATAATCATTATTTTATTCTAATAATCTATTTCAATTTTTTAACTTAAAACAATCGATTAATTAATTATTAGACTTTTATATGTCTAGGTCAATCATAGGTTTTAATTAAATAGGTTAATAAATTAAGCCGGCAATCGACATATGTTTAACCTTAAGTATGATCCGAATAAAAATTATAAAATCTGCCTCTTTCAAAAAATATAAAGCTTACAATTTAAATAAATATGTTATAGTAACAGACCTAATCTAAACAGATTTAAATAGCAATTATAAATATAAATTTTTATATATTAATTTGTGCTGTAAAGTAATGTAAAAAAAGTAACGTAGTTACTAATGTCGTTACCTTGAATTTTATTCAAAAAACATCTATTTCAGAGGTGATTATCAGCAGTGAATATTATATATTTCAAATCTTACAATTATTATTTTGCTTATGATTTTTTTTAATTTTATTAAATGATATATAGAAAAATAAGTTATATTATTCAAATGAAACAATTCTAGAAAGTTTATGTTCTCCAATTGAAGAGAGAAAATTAGGTAAGTCTCTTCTCTCTTCTAAAAAATCAATACATAAATTTTTCAAAATATTTTGTTTTGTATGATAACTACGACTTTTTTTGGGAGTGTATGTCCCAATACTCTATTGGCCGATTTTGCCCATGTTGACGGCTATTTCCATCCTCATCCTTTCAATTACTTCCCATATCTTAAGTTTTTGTGGCCTATAATATGCTAAAATCGATTGTTCCACCCTTCACATACATTATTTATTCGATTTTCTCCAGAAATCGTAACGTTGAATTATAATCTATTTCTATAAAATTTATCAGTTTTCTTTTTTTTCCGGGGTATTATTTTCCTCTTACGATTATTTTTATTCATATATAAAATAGCGGCGCTACTACGGGGAGGGTGAGGGGTATTTTTACAGAATAAATTTTTTTTTAAAGTTATAGAATAAAAAAATTCTATATACAAACAGGTAACGCTGGCATCCCCTTCGTTGTGATGATTTAATGAAACATGTTATCCCATCTATATAAAATTATTTTATTTTCAAAAATAATTAAAATAAAACATTTGTAATTTATAAAAAAACTTAACTAAATTACAACTCGTAATTAAGTTAGTTAAATTACCGGGGATTACTAACTGTGAATAAAAAATGTTTTGAAGATGGTTAAGTAACTCTAATAATTATATAAGAGAATTTAACATAGTCTGGAAGAGAAAAAATAGTAAATCAAACAAACTCCGCCATAATCATCGCAATTTGAAAAAATATTTGAATGGTTTAGTTAGAAAATGGGATTAATGTAGAAAAAATAATGCCTATAATTTATAATTAAATTTAAATGTATTTTTTTTTTGTTTTTTTTCTCTTTAGCTTTCACCTTTTCTGGTGGTAAGCTCCTTCAACATCTCTCTCCACTTTATATAATTTATACTTCTTTATATTATCTCCATGGTTTGTAGACTTCTCTCGTCTGATTCTTTGGTTGGCCTCTTTCCCTTTAATTTGTGTGGGATATCAAAGGCCTGCATGGTTCCAGTTTTATCTTGTTTTGAGTGGATTTATTTGAGATGTGTAAATTCATGACTGTGTTGTGCGGCTATATCTTCTCCTGTGACTTTGCAGGCTATTACATCTTTCAATCTTCTGCGAGAGATTAGTATGTAATCTATCTGTGTTTTCCTTGTACCACTTTCGTATTAGGTGTTGTATTAGGTGTTGGTAAAGGCAAGGTGAAGGCTTGCGCAAATTTCAGTATATGCTCTCCTCGCAAATTTCAGTATATGCTCTCCTTCATCATTTCTTTCTCCATATCCAAAACCACCATGATGCCTTTCTCCATATCCAAAACCACCATGATGCCTTTTGTAGCTCGCAAATTTCAGTATATGCTCTCCTTCATCATTTCTTTCTCCATATCCAAAACCACCATGATGCCTTTCCCTGTCCACTGCCTATGCTCCCTTCGACTTTTCCCCACATGCGCATTTAAGTCACCACCAATTATGACTAGGTCATCCTTAGGGATTTCCATTACAGCTTCATCGAGGATAGCTCTAAAATCATCTTTCTCTTCTTCCTTGCAAGCCGTTTGAGGAGCATATAATGAAGGGATGTGTAGTATCGATTGACCAATACAGAATTTTATCTTCATTAGTCTATCAGAGATCCTGTTGACTTCTACAACTGAGGAGGTTAGATCTTGACTGAGGATGATGCCGACACCGTTCCTATTGCTAACAAGTCCATTATAGTACAATTTATACCCATCTCCAATCATCAAAGTCTTCTGTCCTTTCCATTTCGTCTCTTGTATGCAAGCTATATCAACTTTTCTCTTGTTCAACATTGATGCCAATTCTCTCGTCTTACCTTTAAGCGTCCCAATATTCACCGTTCCTATTGCTAACAAGTCCATTATAGTACAATTTATACCCATCTCCAATCATCAAAGTCTTCTGTCCTTTCCATTTCGTCTCTTGTATGCACGCTATATCAACTTTTCTCTTGTTCAACATTGATGCCAATTCTCTCGTCTTACCTTTAAGCGTCCCAATATTCAAACTTGCTAATCTTGTTTTCTTTGCTTTGACCTTTACTTTACTTTTTACAGGATGGAGGTCTACACCCTGCGCGTCGCATGGAGGGAACGCCCTAGCTTTCATATTCATATTTTCATTTGTGTCCTTCATTTTGTTTATTGGACCCTTAGCACCCGGCTGTCCAGGCCTGTCGATGACCGGGGTGTCATCTCTAAGCTCCGAAATTCATAATACCATATGTCTTTACACATCAGTCATCGAAGAAAAACTTGAAAGTTTTTATGGTTCTTACCAGGATTGAACCTGCGTCCTTGTTCATACTCGTGTTTCCAAGCGTACATCTTACCCATTAGGCCACCCCGGCGATAAATTTAAATGTATAATAAGATTTAAAAGATTAGTAAATGAGATTTATTTTTTCTTAGTTTACCCAAAGTAGAGTAGAGCTGTGCGAATTCAATTTTATTTTGCCTCATTGCAATTTATTTTGGAACCCTATCTCAGTTTATACCTATTGATCTTTAGACACTACTAGCACCTTCCTCCTTACTTTAGCTCTGAGTCTGAAAATATTTTAATTTATTTAAATAAAAAGCACTTTAATTTTTATATAAAGTTAAATTTAATTAAACCATAACTAGACCCGATTAAAATTTTTTTTATCCCGAAGCTGACTTGCTTGCAGGGTTATGCTATTTAACAGTTATAAACAACTCCGGGTCTGGACCCTATGTTTGAACCCCTAGTCTGTGCTCAGAGCAGGCTTGAGCACAAACTAAGTTAGTAAATTTTACGACCAAGCAAATTAACAACACTTGTGCCAATCATTTTTAAAAATTAGACGCAACACGGCTCGAATTTTCTACAAGAGCTTGGAGGGGAAAAGTTACTTCAAAACTGCCTGATTGATTAAATTTGAGGAGGCATCTTATAATACATTAACTATTTCGTTTTTCTCTCCCTTTTCTCATTATATATTATGTGTCCGCTTAGACTCCAAATATTGTTAAAAATAATTAAAAAATAAAAACATTTATTTGTACTATAAAATTATTTATTTTTTATTAGTGTTGACATTGAAAAGTCAAGATGTACACTTTAAAACCATTTCAAAAATTACATTTTCTAAGTGTAAGCTATTGTGGAATAAAATGGGGGCAATCTTCAAACTCTGCAGCCATTTTTAAGGAAAGCATGGGAAAGAACTCTTTTTATAACGTCTAGAAATTAATAGATAGTCTTATTAAGGATAATTGCATATGATGACTCTTAAACCGTAACGCGTTCCTTTTTTCAGATGTAACGCGTTCCTTTTTTCAGATGTAACGCGTAACTCTTACGCGTTTCTTTTTTGTAGTAACGTTTACAGCACTAGAAATAATTAAACACTTTTGTTTTAAAATATTAATAAAAAAATTATATTTTAATATGATATTTATGTTAACTTTAAAATTTTTAACTATCCACTTAAAGATCTTCATAAATATATACACATTCCACTATCAATGAAAAATTTATTATAGCTTAGAATCAGGTGGGTTCAGAAATTTCAAATTAATCTTTTACACCTGACAATTAACATAAGTCAGATTGTCTACATTCTGTTATTAACAAAAATCATTTATATTATTTAATTTATTATTATAAATTATTTTATCGATGATTATATATTTAAATATATTCTTTCTATATTTTATTTAATAAATATTGCTTTATTAAATATTACACTATATATAATTAAATATTACTTTATATATATATTTGAATATTACTTTAGATATATTTAAATATTACTTTAGATATATTTAAATATTACTTTAGATATATTTAAATATTACTTTAGATATATTTGAATATTTAAATATTTTATATTTAAATTAAATATTCATAAATATATATTGCATAAATTATAATATAAATATTTTAAAATTTATTAAATTTAAATGTTAAAATTTTTTTTTTTTTTTTTTATAAAATATATACTTTATTAATAAAAATATTGAACGTTAAAAGTAAAACATATATACGTAATTTAAAAAAATATATATATTAAAAATGTCATGTAAACTATAAAATCTATATAAAAAACTGTATAATAAAAAAAATAAAATAATTAGAATAGTGAATTGTATGTTGGGTGGGAGGAGGTCAAGAAAGAGAGCCATGGATGGCAATGCAGTTAGATCTGCATATATCAATAGATATGCGCTGTCTGAGATAGAAGCC